GAGGACGTGGGTCTGTCTGGGAGGATAGAGGTCTGTCTGTGAGGACGTGGGTCTGTCTGGGAGGATAGAGGTCTGTCTGTGAGGATGTGGGTCTGTCTGTGAGGATGGGGTCTGTCTATGAGGATGTGGGTCTGTCTGTGAGGATGGGGGTCTGTGTGAGGGTGGGGGTCTGTCTGTGAGGATGGGGGTCTGTGTGAGGATGTGGGTCTGTCTGTGAGGATGGGGGTCTGTCTGTGAGGATGGGGGTCTGTGTGAGGATGGGGGTCTGTCTGTGAGGATGGGGGTCTGTCTGTGAGGATGCAGTCTATGTATCCAGGTAGAACTCAGAGATGTTGTGGGTTTGGCTCCAGACCACTGCCATTAAGCGAAGATCACAACCAAGAGAGCACAGCATCTGTTTTTTGGTTCCCAGTGCATAAAAAACATGTATGGCATAAAAAACATGTATGGCATAAAAAACATGTATGGCATAAAAACATGTATGGCATAAAAAAACATGTATGGCACTAGACTGTAATCTAGGAAGTGCGCAGCAGCAAGATGAGAAAGTTTGAAACTGTGAAAATGACCCAAAGAGGACACAGACACACCATGAGTGGTCCTGTTGGGAATTGGTGCTGACAGGCTGGCTCCATGCAGGGTTGTTACAAACCCTCCAGTTGTAAAGAACATAGTATCTGAGAAACAGTCCAGTGAGGACTGTGTGTGTGTGTAAAGGTGTGCTGGAGGTGGCTGACCTCTTTCAACTTCCCAAGAGGGAAAGAGTCCAGGCTGATTCCAGTGAAGTCGAAGTCAGCAGATCCAAATCCTCTCTGTGACCTTTCTACCATTTCTAACAGCATCAGTCCCTCCTGTGGACCTCTCTACTTCTCTGCTGGACATGATGAATTCATCAGAATGGTGGCACAGAACTCAAGCACTAGTCACAGTTCTGTGGTTTATTAGGGAAGTAACGAGTTACAATTCAGGATCTGGAACAAGTCAACATGCAGTTGTTCAATGAGGATGGCCTCTTCACAGTCCTGCCCACAGGCAGACCTCTCTCTGGCCTTCTGTCCTGCTCAAAACTCTTTTAGCTTCACCAGGAAGTGCCCAGAGGCAGCCCGCCACCAGTAAGCATCCTGGTCGGAGGCGCTCAGCTCTCCCGGTCCTGGTATTTCTTGCCCTTTCTCTCTGTCTCCTGCATCTGAGAGGCTCTGGGTGCAGGGACTCGGGTCCTGGTTCATCACTCCTCTCTCCTTGCTGGTTGTCAGATCTGTCCTCCCCACCCCTGGATGGCTCATTTTAGGCCTCACAGGATGGTGAAGCTGATGAACCCCCTTATTAGGGCTCCCTATGCCTCACTGGAGTCCTGGGGTGGCGCTGTGGGTTAATGTGCTCAACTGCAAAGTCAGTTTGAACCAGCCGCTCCTTGGAAACCCTATGAAGGGTTGCTATGGGTCAGAACCTACTCGAAGGCATTTACCAACAACACCTTATTGGCATGGCCCCACCCCCACAAGGGTACCATACACCTTATTCACATTATTAGCAAGCTCTCCAATCCCTTTGATTGGCTGCAGGTACTTTATTTGCAAAGTCCAAAGACCTCCAGTGAGGTGGATTGGCAAAGTGGCAGCATCAGTAGGCTCAAGCGTGGCAACAATTGTGAGGTTGGCCCAGGACCGGGCAGTGTTTTGTTCTGTTGCGCATAGGGTCACTATGAGTCGGTACCGACTCAATGGCACCTAACAACAACCACTACCACCACCCAGTCATTTGGTGGTAGTTATAATATGATAGCAAGAAAAGTCATACAAAAGCAATCCATTGTACCCCAGTGTGTGTGTGTGTATGTAAGGATGTATCTGTATACCTGTATATATGACTGTTATGTGAGAGTGTGTCTTTGTGTATGTCTAAGTCTCTGTGTTTGCCTGGAAGAGTGTCTTTCTGTCTCCGTGTGTGTACATGTGTCTGTCCACGTGTTTGTGTGTGTGAGTTTATCTGTGTGTCTCTCCCTGTATGTATGCATTTGTTTACCTGACTGTATGTATGGGTGGTATATGGGCTGGACCTCAAGCTGCCCTGGCCACATCTCAGAGAGCCCGTGCTGGGTCAGCAGGTTCTCGAGCAGGCTCTGAGCCAAGCCCACCCCCGGGAGGCGGCTCGTCGGGGTCCTCTGTGCCTCCAGAGGAAATCTGGGTGCTGAGGAAGCCTTTTGCAGGTAGACTTGGGCCCCAGGGGTCTGGGTGTTGGTCCTTCCACCAGGCACCACTGGGGCTGTGCGGAGGGGACTTGGGGTCTGCACTGCCTGACGCCCTCTCATGCTCACAGGTGGGGAACGCAGCGGCAGCTTGAGCAGCGTGGCTGGTGGCCGGGGCCATGCCCTGCATGCAGGCTCCGAAGGCGTCAAGGTAGGTAGGGTGGAGTGGCTGCCTGGGTGGCCAAGCCCCAGAGCAACACAGGTGAGTGGCCTTTCTGGGTTGTAGCTCCTGGCCACTGTGCTCTCCCAGAAGTCTGCCTCTGAGTCCAGCCCTGGGGACAGCCCCGTCAAGCCTCTGGAAGGTTCTGCAGGTAAGAAAGAGGTTGTAACTGCTGACCTGGAATAGATCCCTGAGCTACCGCTCCCTGACCACTATTCTGGTCCAAAGGTACCACCAGGGCCCAGCCTCCTGTCCATGCAGAACAGTCACCCAGGAAGCCAGATCTGGCGTCTGAGGGAAAGGTATTGGGCGATGCCCAGCTTGCATGTGGGCTTGGGCAGCCATGATGGGTCAAGCCCTGCCCTCTGTCTGTTGCTCAGTCTGTGTGTGTTGTGTGTGCACACGCACGCATGTATAGGTGTTGTCTATGTGTATGCTGTGCATGTGAACCAGTGTGTCCGTACAGATCATGTGCAGTGAGTGAGACAGGCATGAAGGAAGCAAGAGCGTCGTATGTGTTCCAAGCAGTGTGACCCGGGGCCGGCACAAGTGTGTGTGTGACCGAGGGTGTGGAAGGTGTGGGAGACCATACAAGGTGTGTGTGTGCACCTGTGCCTTGATGTTGGCTGAGTTCTGGTACCAGAGGAGGTGAGGGCTCCTGCCCATAGGGGCAGAGCCCACCTTCCTTGGAAGTAGAGGGGCAGCCCTGAGCCACCCAATCCAAGCCCCCCCCCCCCAAGATGGTGGCAGCATCCTGCCAGACCCTGGCTCGGCATCCCTGGTGTAAGGGGATGGTCAGGGTCTGTGACGGATAGAGGCGGAAGCATCCGGGTGTAGATGACGAAGGATGGCCAACAATGTCCGAGGAAGGTGGTGTCAAACAAGCTGATCGGAACCCAGCGCAGAGACATCGGATGGCCAAGCCGGCGCTGCACGCAGAGGAGGCTGCTCCGCATGGCGGGGTGCATGGCCAGTGGGCAGGCAGGCGAGCCCTGCAGTGGGTGCCCTTGTGTCTTCCAGAGTGCCGAGGCGGTCAGCCAGTGGCTGGCCACGTTCCAGCTGCAACTCTACGCACCCAACTTCATCAGTGCCGGCTACGACCTGCCCACCATCAGCCGCATGACCCCTGAGGTGAGTCGCCCCAGCTAGCTGTCGCCTGCTTCCCCAACAGGTCCCAGCCTCCCACCTGCTAACAGACCTCCTCCCTCAGGACCTCACAGCCATTGGTGTCACCAAGCCAGGCCACCGGAAGAAGATCACAGCAGAAATCAGTGGGCTGAGCATCCCCGACTGGCTGCCCGAGCACAAACCCGTAAGGCCCCCCTCACCTCCTAGTGCCCGGGCCCAGGATGGACAGACAGACTGACAGGCTGGTTCTAGCAGCGAACCCCCCAACAGCCTCCTGTCTGTCACAGGCACTGGGGCCAGTCTCCCTGGGGCAGAGGCCGGGGTGGCAGAGTCTCAGGGGTGCCCCCCTCCACCTGCATACTCCTGCCAGCTCAGCCAGTCAAGTGGGGACACCACGACCCCTGCCCATCACACCAAGGACCACGCAGGCCACACATTGCCGGGATGTGCTTGTACACACCTAGGGACATGCATGTCATTGCTAACTCTACCCAGGGCACCGTGGACAGTTGTTTGCACCCACCTGTTTGGCACCTGTGCAGTTAGCTGGCTCGTGGGAACAGATTGTAGGCTGAAAGCAGGTGGCTTGGCGTAGCCCAGCTACAGGCTACTATCTGGAGGGTCTGCACCCACCCAAATGCTCACCCACCTGCGCTGTCCTGCCCCTTGTCGGTGGCTCAAACCCTCTCAACCTGCTGGAAACCTCTCAGTCTGCTCCATGTGCGCATCCTGGGGGTGAGGAGTGTGCCGTGCGTCTGTGTGTGAGCAGGGTCCCCCTCTGCAGGGAGCACTTAGGTGTTTCTGAGTGAAGCACAGAGTGATGTGGCTGGAGGTATGTGTGCTGGAGGAGGCAGGTGGTGATGTGTGAGGATGTGTACGCACAGGAGATGTGTTCGAGTGTGATGCGGAAGGGGTGTCGGTGCCCATACGTGGCTGAGTGTGCCGTGCGTGTGCAGTGTGTGTGTCCGATGTGGCTGTGATGTGTGTCTGTGTCCACAACGTGTTGGCGAGTTTGTGCAGGGAGCTGTCCCTGGGGGCAGGGAAAAGGGAGGAAGTGATTTCTTCCACTTCCCCCGGGGTAGGCATCCAAGGAAAGATAATGCCTTGTATCTGTGTGTCTGGGTGTGCTAACACGTGCCCCAAAGAGCTGGCTTGGGGCTCCTGTTCCATACCTAAGGGGCACTTAGGCTGTGCCCATGCTGTCTTCGATGCTGACATCTCCAGCCTGTCTGTTTGTCCATCTGTCTGTCTATGCCGGCTGGTCCAGTGCCCTGTCCCTGGGACAGCTCCTAAGAGGCGGAGAGGGTGAGGGCGGCCGGCCCGCCCTGGCTGCCCTCTGTGTCCCCTGCCCCCAGGCTAACCTGGCCGTGTGGCTGTCCATGATCGGCCTGGCCCAGTATTACAAGGTGCTGGTGGACAATGGCTATGAGAATATCGACTTCATCACTGACATCACCTGGGAGGACCTGCAGGAGATTGGCATCACCAAGCTGGGTGAGGGCCTGCCCCGTTTGCCCCCGTCCGCACCCACTCCGCCCACAGCCTGACCCCATGCATGTCCCATGTCCCATGCAGGACACCAGAAGAAGCTGATGCTTGCGGTGAGGAAGCTGGCAGAGTTGCAGAAGGCGGAATACGCCAAATATGAGGGGGGCCCCCTGCGCCGGAAGGCACCCCAATCGCTGGAGGTGGTGGCCATTGAGTCACCTCCCCCACCAGAGCCCACACCTGCTGACTGCCAGTCCCCGAAGATGACCACCTTCCAGGACAGTGAGCTTAGTGGGGAACTGCAGGCTGCTATGACCGGCCCAGCTGAGGGCACTGCCGCCACTGTTGAGAAGACCTACAACCAGCTGCCACCCACCCCCAGAGGCAGCCTGCGGCAGGAGCCCAGCCTGGGTGGGCGGGCACGTCACATGAGCAGCTCTCAGGAACTGCTGGGCGATGGACCTCCTGGGCCTGGCAGCCCCATGTCCCGGAGCCAGGAGTACCTGCTGGATGAGGGACCAGCCCCCAGCACTCCCCCCAGGGAGGCCCGGCCCAGCCGTCATGGCCACAGTGTCAAGAGAGCCAGTGTACCCCCGGTACCTGGAAAGCTAAGACAGGTCCTCCCGCCAGGTGCCAGCCACTTCACACCCCCGCAGACGCCCACCAAAGCCAGGCCTGGCTCCCCCCAGGCTCTGGCGGGGCCTCATGGCCCCACCCCGGCCACAGCCAAGGTAAAGCCCACCCCACAGCTGCTGCCACCAACGGAGCGGCCCATGTCCCCCCGCTCACTGCCCCAGTCGCCCACCCACCGAGGCTTTGCCTATGTGCTGCCCCAGCCTGTGGAGGGGGAAGCAGCCCCAGTGGCCCCAGGGCCTGTGCCCAGATTGTGCCTGCCCCCCGAGGCTGATGGTGAGCCAGGGCGGCCCAAGAAGCGTGCCCACAGCCTGAACCGCTATGCAGCGTCAGACAGCGAGCCGGAGCGGGACGAGCTGCTGGTTCCCTCGGCGACAGGACCCTATGCCACTGTCCAGCGGCGTGTGGGCCGAAGCCACTCGGTGCGGGCACCCGCTGGCGCTGACAAGAACGTCAACCGCAGCCAATCTTTCGCTGTGCGGCCACGAAAGAAGGGGCCCCCACCACCTCCACCCAAGCGCTCCAGCTCTGCCCTGGCAAATGCCAACCTGGCTGATGAGCAGGGGCTAGATGCAGAGACTGAGGGTGTTGGGCCTGAGGACGGTGGGCTGGGAGTCCGAGCCCAGCGCCGGCGGGCCAGCGACCTAGCCGGCAGCGTGGACACGGGCAGTGCCGGCAGTGTGAAGAGCATCGCGGCCATGCTGGAGCTGTCGTCCATTGGGGGTGGCGGCCGGGCTGCCCGCAGGCCTGCAGAGGGCCACCCCATACCCCGTCCTGCCAGCCCTGAACCAGGCCGTGTGGCCACGGTGCTGGCTCCTTTGAAGCACAAGGAGGCCATTGGGCCCGACGGGGAGGTGGTAAACCGGCGCCGCACGCTCAGTGGGCCTGTCACTGGACTTCTGGCCACAGCCCGCCGAGGGTCTGGAGAGCCAGTGGGGCCTACTGAACAACACGGGCCCTTGGTTGAAGATGGTGCTGCCCGGCAGCGACCCCGAGGCCCAGCCAAGGGAGAGGGCAGCAGCGAGGGCTCTCCCCTGGCCAGGGTGGAGGCCAGCTCCACTCTCAAGAGGCGCATTCGAGCCAAGCAGAGCCAGCAAGAGAATGTCAAGTTCATCTTGACGGAGTCTGACACTGTCAAGCGCAGGCCCAAGACCAAGGAGCGGGAGGTGGGCTTGGAGCCCCCCCCACCTCCCCTGTCTGTGTATCAGAATGGCACGGGGACCATGCGCCGACGGCCCGTTTCTGAGCAAGGTGCACCCCCAGATCTGCCACCGCCGCCCCCACCTGTTCAGCCGCCCCCGGCCGACCTGGTGCATCTGCCTCCACTGCCCTTGCCAGAGGGTGATGCACGGAAGCCGGTCAAGCCACCCGTCTCTCCCAAGCCTGTCCTAGCTCAGCCGATGACCAAGATGCAGGGCTCACCCACTCCGGCATCCAAGAAGGTGCCTCTCCCAGGCCCTGGCAGCCCAGGTAGGTGCAGGGAATGAATGGCAAGCAGGATCCTGTCCACTTCCCACACCTCTTCTGGAATTTGGGAAGCCTGGGTAGGAGTGGACAACCCCAGCCCATAGCTGGGAACAAAGAGGCACGGTTCTGCATATAAACCTTTGAATGCCACTCTGGAGGGAGGAGAGGTGGGAGATGACCGGTTAGGGGTTACCCACTGCAAAAGCAAGGAGCGGGTCAGGGGTGGAAAAGACCTATGGCATGTAAGCAATCCTTGGGACCACAGTAGGCCCATTTAGAGGAGAGGTTGGTGAGCGATTCTCCCAGGCCAGGTCTTTCCCCGCAGAAGTGATGACCAGCATTTGCATGTGGCAGCGCGCCCTAGTGGCACTGGAGGGTGGGTCCCCTTCCCTGGTGCCAGCGCCGTCCTCTCCACAGAAGTGAAGCGTGCCCACGGGACACCGCCGCCTGTATCACCTAAGCCACCGCCACCGCCTACGGCGCCCAAGCCAATCAAGGCTACGGCGGGGCTGCAGTCGGGCAGCGCCAGTCCTTCGCCCGCGCCCTCACCGGCGCGTCAGCCGCCAGCCGCCCTCGTCAAGCCGGCCGGCACGCCGCCTCCGGTGGGCTCCAGTCCGGTTAGGCCCCCATCCCCCGGCGTGCCCGCGCTGCACGTGCCCGCCAAGCCACCGCGCGCCGCCGCCGCCGCCGCCGCCGCCGGAGCCCCTGCCGTGCCTGACGGCGCCTCGCCAGGGGACAGTGCCCGGCAGAAGCTGGAGGAGACCAGCGCCTGCTTGGCGGCTGCGTTGCAAGCTGTAGAGGAAAAGATCCGACTGGAAGACGGCCAGGGACCGCGGTAGGCGCAGCGGGGCGGCCTGGGGCGGGGCCTGTAGCCGCCTTCGCCCCTTTACTACGGGGTTTTCTGAAGCTTGGCCTGTGGGCGGATCCTGGTGGGGAGTGGCTGGACTCGAGGGGGCGGAGTCTCCTCCCTGATCTCTCCAGTTGGTATTGCCTTGGCGTGAGCGGGGCGTGACGTAGGGCGAGCCATGGGAGGAAACGGGCGGATAGTGCATCCAGGCCCCTCAGTGCTTACACTCTGAGACCTGGAGTGGGCGTGGTTGTGGGTGTGGTTTGCTCTTGTCCCCGCACCGGGACCGGCTTGAGACAGAGGAAATGGTCCTCCACCAGCCCAACTCATGCATGCCCCCTTGCCCCCAGCCCGTCGGCCGCAGAGGAGAAGAGCACCGGCAGCATCTTGGATGACATCGGCAGTATGTTCGACGACCTGGCCGACCAGCTGGATGCCATGTTGGAGTGACGGGCCGTTGCCCTCTGGGGGTCCGCCCGCGCTGCTCAGGCTTTGGCCCCTCATACTGACCTTTACCTCAGGACGGGCATCTGGGCCGAGCGACCGCTGGCTGAGCTGGGGGCGGGCCTCCCCCAGCCCCTGCACAAGCACAACTCCTGCTGCCTGCCCAAGGCTCGGCCCTGCCTGCTGCTCCCCGTGCAATACCTGCTGGGCCGCCAGGGCTACCCTGGTGGTGGGGAGAGGATGCCGCTGGAGTCTTCTGACCTCACGGCAGAGCACAGGTCTATGCCCAGCACAGAACTGCCGATGGGGAGACCTCCTCGGGCAGCTGCTCTGGCTGAGCACAAACCAGGGGTAGGAGGTCGAGACTGGGACCCCCCCCCACTCCATTGCATCCCCCTCCCCCAGAATATAAACTATGGAGAGTATTAATTTATTGGGAACGAGCTGAGGCAGATTCCCCCCAGGGAGACACAAAGGTATAACTTTAACAAATATATATTTAAAGAAAAAAATATTGATTCTATAAAGAAAACATTTACCGATGGAAAGGACAAAAGCTGTTAAGAGGCCCAGGCCCCTTTGTCCGTCCTTCCCACCCACCCCCTGTCCAGGGGGTCTAGGCCCCTGGCCCAGTAGCACAAATGGGCTGGGGATCAGGGAGGGGGTTGGTGCTCTGCCAGGGCCTCTCCTCCCCCCACCTCCCGACCCCTTCTCTGAGGAACTGGATGTGCCTTGCTAGCTGATGGGCTGTGTCCACTTCCAGGCCTGCGGAATATGGGGGCGTGGTCGAGTCCTGAGAGCGTGGTTGAGGGTGTGCTTGGGCGAGCGTGAGCGTGTGACCGCAATGTGGGAGCAGAGGCGCGCATGCAGCTGCGTGTACGTGCGTGCCTGCCCCCACCCCCTGACCCCGCGCTGGCCCTGCACAAGCACCCAGCCCAACCCCCACTCAAGTTCTGAAGGCCGCTTCTGCTCGTGGTCCACGGCCATGTCGTGTGGTTTCCTGACCCCGTTTCTCTGACCCACTTCTCTCTCTTCCCCTGAAAAAGTACTGACTGGTCTCCTCTATTGTGTTTGCTGATCCACATGTGTTGGGAACAACTTTGACATTTCTTATAATAAAATAAAATCGAAAACCGTTGAAAGCCAGCCAAGCCGACCATGGTGACAGGATGGGTGTAGGAGCTGCCAGAGGTGGTGTCCAGCCCTGGCCGCCCTTTAGGATGGTCTCCAGCAGGTGGGAAGGGTGAAGGCAGGGGGCTACTGTCAGCTGTCAATAAACAGCAGAACACAGAGCTACATGGTCTATTTTTTTTTTGGGGGGGGGGGCCACAGGTCTGGTGTTAGAAAGAACGGAATTGGGGCTAGGACCCTGGCCCCATGGTGGGGGTAGGCCTTGTCCTGGAGAGGAGAAGCAGAGTGGTGGGCCATTTCCAAGGGTCTGGAAGACACTCTGGCCCCTTCCACACTGTCAAAAACGGACCCTATTGTGAATTAACTCCCCTCAAATGTAAAAAGAATATCCTTCATGCCCCCCACACCTCCTCAACATCCTTGGGGGGCGGCGTCCCCCGTCTTTGAATGCAGCCACCCACACCAAGGACCCCTTTCACAGACACCATCTGTGCGTTTATTTCCATTGAAGTAATCAAAGATATGTACAGTCTAAAACAGTAGAAAACTTTATGTATAAAAATGCCCGCAGTCCATCTTGAGAAGGGATCGGGCTGGGCTGGCCGAGCGTCGTACCTGGGGCTGCGGCGGGGATGCCACTGAGCGTGGGCCGGGAAGGCACTGCCCCATTTGTCTCCCAGGTCCCATGGGGCAGCCAGAGCTCCAAGGTCACCTATTCGGCCAGCTGGCTGACAGGACCAGAGGAGCCAAGGCCCGACCCACGCTCTCTGTTAGCAGGTCCACACCTGAAAAAATGGGGTTCAGTGTCAGGGGTGCCTACAGCCCCTGCCGCCTATCTGCTGCCCACCGTGGGCAGCTCCAATTCCTGCAGCACTGACCTTCACGGTACTATCCACAGCGCCAGAGAAAAGGCGGCCCCGGGACACGGCCAACGCTGTCACGCTGCCCTGATGCCGCAGCAGGGTCTGTGTGCAGATCATGTTATCCATGCTCCACACCTGGGGACATGAAAGACATGAGGTGACGTAGTCACCAAGGCCCCTCCCTCCCCACCTGGCACCCTGGTTTAGCATGTACCCTGAGGGACCGGTCATAGGAGGCGCTGAAGACTTTGGTCTGGTCTGGAGTTGAGATGACCGCCAAGGCATACACGGTGCCCACGTGGCCCGTCAGGGTCCGAACCTGCTCCTTGGATTCAATGTCCCATACCTGGGAGGGGGTGAGCCCGGACAGGTGAGGGACACGGGGGCGGTAGAGCAGGGCCCCAAGTCAGGCCCTGCCTTGTCCCTGGCCTTACGTGGATGAGGTTCTCGTAGGTGCCGCAGACAATGTGGTGGCTTGTCACAGCAATCGAGTAGACGCTGCCTCCGGACGTCTGCAGCACGTGAATGCAGTCTAGGGTCCGGATGTCCCAGATCTGTGGATGAGTGCAGGGTATGAGCAAGCACCCCTTCCCGCAGGGCTCTGCACGCTACAACTACCCACATGGCCCAGCCCAGCTGTCCTGTATCCTACGAGTGGTCCCTGGCACAGGACTTGGCTAGGAATTGCAGGCAGAGGGTAAGGGCCTGCTGGCAGGGGTGGCCCACCTTGATTGTCTGGTAGGAGCCACTGTACAGGTAGCTCTGGGCAGCCACCAGGGCCCGCACCCAGTGGTTCAGGCCTGTCAGCTCCTTCTTCAGCTTCAGCTCGGTGCCCACAATGTCCCAGACCTGCGGGGCCAGCAGTAAGGAGACGGGAGTCCCAGTACCCTTGGAACCCCTGTATCCGCCCCACCCCACCTCACCCCATACCTTGATGGCCTTCAGGGAGCCACTGAAAAGCATGTTGTGAGAGGAGACCAGAGTGCACACTGGGTTGTCGTGGGCCCGGATGGTGTTCACTTTCTGCAGGTTCTGGATATCCCACACCTGGGGAAGGAGAGCCAAGTGTTTCAGGGTGTGGTCACAGCCAGGCCCCACCTCCCGCCCCCCCCCCCCAGCCCACCTGTTCACTCACAATGATGGTGCAGTCTGCAGAGCCACTATACAGCTTACACCTGGGAAGCAAAACCTGTGCGTCAAGGCCACTGTCCTCATCAACAGTCCCCTGTCCAGAGCCACTAGGCACAGACAGCTTAGGCCAAGGCCACTGCTGCTTCCCCCAACACCGAGACATGCAAGTGGCAGCCAGGCCCTTCCTGCCTGCTTGGGAACCATCTGACAGCTGAGTTGTGAGGTAATTACCCTCCAGTTAGCGCTGCATCAATCTGCCCAGCTGGAGCTGGCAGGTGGGGGGCTGCCACCCGGAAACAGGCAGTGTGCACACACACTGACACACTCAGGCCGCACACGCTCACACACACACACATGCACACCCACCTCAACAATCACATGCTTGCTCACACATACACACTCAATCACACATGCTCACATACATACATACATATATGCTCACACACACGCTCACATCTGGGCCTGCGTACAAAAAGGTAGAAGAGCAGGACAAGAGGGTTTCTGGGGGGTCAGGGAGATGCTCCTCAGGGGTCCCCAGGCCCAGAATTGTGCCCAGGACTATGGCCACAGGTCACTGGCAGTTAAGGAGGTGTTCCAAAGCCCTGCCTCTGTGCAGGCAGCAGGGGGCTCCACAGGAGGGGTGGAAGGCAGCAGGGGCTGCACTTACCCCTGGATGCAGAGGGCCAATACAATGCCATCATGACCTTCCAGAGTTTTCTGGCATTTGTACGTAGTGCACGTGTCCCACACCTGCAGACAAAGTTGGGGTGCCCAGAAGGAAAGGGAGTGAGACTCTGGGGCCCTGGTGAAGGCAGGCAGGCAGGCCCACCCCTCAGTCCACCCTGCCCACCTTGATGGTCTTGTCAGAGGAGCCGCTGAAGAGCAGGTCACCCATGGAGTAGACGCAGAGACACCACACAGGACCCTGGTGCCCCACAAAGGTCCCCTTGCACTTGAAGATCTGCTGAGGGTCATAGGCTGCACAGAGGAGGGTGGTGTGAGGAACCACGGGGGTCCTGGGAGCAGGGGGAAGAGCCATGCGGAGGGGCCACATACTCACATCCCAGAATGCCCATGTTCAGCCGAGCATTGATGTGTGACAATTCATCCTGCAAGATAAAGAACAAGGCAGGTGGGCAGGCTGTGGTGTCCCCGCAGGCAGCCCCCTAGTGCAGTTCTGAGCAGTCGTCAGGCAGCTCACGTTCAGCATGGAGGCATCCCGCCGGAACTCCATCAGATCCTCACTTAGCTTGCTCTGGTTCTCGTCCAGGACGTCTGGCGGGGAGGGGAGGGACCAGTGTCACCAGAGCCCCGGGGCACTCCCACCTCTTGCTCTGGACTGGGCCTCACCAAACTTAAGCTCCAGGCTTTTTTCCAGCTGGTCGATCTTCTCCGAGAGCTTGCCCAACATGGAGCGCAGGAAGGCGATCTCTTGGTCCTTCTGGGCCAGGGCCACCTGCAGTTCATGGAAGCGGTCGTCTGTCTGCTGCAGGAACTCCTTCAGGCCTTCGAAGCGGCACGTCTCCAGGTGAGTCTCATACGTGTCCTGGTTCCCGATGAACGTACACCTGGGGCACAGGATGGCTGCCCTGCCCACTTGCCCACTGTCGGCTGGCCTCCCCAACCTGAGTCTCTCTCCAGCCCCTAGGCCAGTCCCCTTTGGCTCTTGCTGGATGATGCTGCCCTCCTCCTCACTCCCGGAAGCCAACGGGTCACTTCGGCCTTGCTCGGTGCTCCCGTAAGGCCCTCCCTAGACCTCAGAATTGAACCCAATCCCCTCTGGAGAGCTCCACCCACACCTCCCCTCCACCATAGACTCCAGTTGCTTCCTATGGTCACAGAGCCTTTGTCCAGGTGAGTCCAGTTGCAAAAGCCCCCTCAGCCTTGTTCTTTATCCGTCTCCCTCCCATGAGTGCCTTAGTTCCACCCAGCCCTCTGAGCAGCGCCGTGCCCCTCTGGGGTCCCAGGGGGCTGAGTTGTTCCTTGGTGTCACCTGTAACTGAGTTCGTAAAGACAGGTGTTGCTGTGGCTCCCAGCTGAGGACTGTGTCCCTGGGGAACCTGGCTGTCTCCCCAGCAGACGGTACAGCTGGTCCTCAACCACGACTCTCACGGAAGCGGTGACCACGAGTGCTGGCCAGGCCCTCTGCCTGCCCCCGCCGCCCGTGCCCACCCGCACCCACTCACCCGTACTTGGAGTGTGGGCACTTGATGTGTTCGCATGCCTTCAGGTGAGCCTCCAGGTGCATCTTGAGGAGGGGCGGGCAGTTGGGGTTATTGGGGCACCGTACAGGCCGGTACTCACAGGTGCTCTCGTGCTCCCTGTGAAAGGGGGTGTGAGCTCTCAGGAGAGCAGGCCCAGGGCCCCAGGGGCCTTGGGAAGGGGGTCACACTCACTTTCGGGCACTGAGCTTGATGGTGAAGGGGCAGCCTCGGGGGTCCACCTCGAAAGTGCTGGGTTTCCCACTGCCCACCGGCCGGCAGCCGTGTCTACAATGGACGAAGAGCTCCCCAATCTGCTCGGCCACAGCAATGTTGCTCACGACCACCGTCAGCTTGGCGTTGTCCACAGGACACTTCTCTGGAGCCGGTGAGGTCATGCTTACCCACAGCCCACCCAGCCACCCCTCCCAACACTCAGCCACAGACAGACTAAGTTCTGGCGGGGATGGGACGGTCAGGCTTGCAAAGCACGTCCCCCACCCAGCACTCGGCCTCCTGAGACCCCAGCACCCAAGTGTGGGGGCATGTCAAGTCTGAGAGGGACCACAAGGTGAGCAGGTGTCCAAGGGGCCTCTCTGCTCACCCCAGGACCTACTAGACAGGTCAAAGGCAGGACTGAGCATGAAGCCTGCCTGGTGCCAGCCACTGCATAAGGAACTCCCGCACCAGTGCCCAGCGTCCAGCGCTTTAGGCTATGCGTAAGTGATGGCTGCGGAAAACCACCAAGGTTTGGGCCTGCCGGGAGCGCCCCTCCCCAGCAGGTGAAGAGGATATGATGGAGGCCTACCTGACTTGAGGGCGCATCTTCTACAGAAGGTGTGCTGTAGGGCAGACAAAAGTGGATAGAGAAGGCCCTGCCCCCAGTCCCGCAGCGCCCCCACCACACCCGGAAATGGCCATCACAGATTCGCCCCCAGCGCCAGCCCACAGGTGGCAACACGGGCCCCGCCCCACCCACCCTCCAGAAGGCCCCGCCCCCTCGCCCGGTACGTGCAGATCCCACCGCGTCTTCCTCACCCCGCACGTGGTGATCACGGGATCTTTGAACACACAGCAGCACAACTGGCAACTGAGTTTCACCGAAGGCTGCTCAGCAAATACGAGGGGTTCCTGCAAACCCAGGTGAAGGCAGGTGAGGCAGGCCTGCGGACACCACGGGGTACCCACGGGGGAGGGCGCCCCCGAGATGGGGCTGGGCGGAGGGAATGCACCCTGGCACTGAATCAACCTTAGCCTCTTCCTGGAAAGCGAAAAGGGGTCCGCACGGCCCCCACCCTACTCCCACTGCCCAGCCGCATGCCCCTGGAGGTCGCCCACGTCCGTCCACTTACCGGCTCCTCCTCCTCCTCAGGCAGTGAGAAAGTGGAGCGCAGGGACATGCTAGATTCGGAGTGCAGAGAGCGGACAGAGATGGCCGAGTCTGAGCGGCGTGGCGTGCTGATGGGGGGCTGCGGTGCACAGGAGACAAGGCCGTCACTGGGGGGGCTGCCGCGGCCACGTAGGCCTAGCAGAGCTGGGCACTTCCAGCCCAGGGAGGCAGGGCGGGACCAGCCCCGTGGACAATCGACGGCAGCGCTGCTCCGTTCAGTCAGGCTTTCACAGAGCAACCCTGGGCACTCAGAGGGCGAACGAGAGGGACGGCGGGAGGGCCTGGGCCAGAGCCCCCTGCCCCGCTGCCCTAGCCCTGACACTTGTCCTGCTGCCCGCTCACATCGGCAACTTTCTTTGTGCAATAGAGAGACTTCCTGCTATTCAATTTGAGGAGGACTCTCTGGGGCAGCTTCCTGTGGCACCCCCACCAGCCAATCCTGGTGGCTATGGCCTGAACCAATGGAGGGATGGGGCTGGGCTGTGACAGGATTGCTGCCCCCACCAGGGAACCCTGGCTGGGGAGGCTGGGAAGGCAGGAACAGACCCAGCAACCCCAGGCCAGCATCCTGGGAAAGCAGGCTCTTCCAACTGTGGGGGAGCAGCCCCTCCCTCCCTGAGGGTCTGGAAAGTTCCATAAGAGCTCCTGCCTCACCACCGCTCTCTGCGACCCCCTTCTGGGGCTGATAGCTGCCAACCCCTATTAAGAGTCCACTGCTGTCTCCTCAGTTTCCAACTCACAGGACCCTAATGGTCACAGCAGAACCACTTCACAGTGCTTCTACGGAAGGCTTTCAGTCTGTATGGGAGCAGACTGCTAATCTTTTTCCTGTAAAATGCTTATCCCACGGCACCACCAGGGCCCCTTCCAAGACCCAAGCCTTCAGGGGATCAGTGGATAAGCACCCGGCGGCACACATCCAAATGCCAGCCGTGCCTCTTGGCCTGCCCTTTCTCCCTCATGCGTCCAGCCATCAGGCCTGAGCTGGCTGCTTGGCTGTGCCTTCCTACAGTGGAAGGGCAGCCACAACACCCTCAGCCCTGGGGGGAAGGAAACTGGCTGCAGCAGGCCAAGCTGTGGGGACAGGTCAGCAGCCCCAGGACCGTCCATGGCTGCTTGAAGCAGGGGAGGCAGGACCCCACTGTGTGCCAAAGGACCTGGCCTCCCTGGCGTTTGCACAGACTTGTGGCAGTGACAGGAGGTTACAGGAAGTGAGTCAGAGCCTCCCAGGCCGCCATGGAAACCAGAGGGCTGGGCCCTCCATTCCCATGACGCCTGCTCTCAGGGGTTCCTGGTAGCTAGAGTCAAGGGGCTGAAAATCAGGCAGGCCTGGGCTGGGTCACGCACCACCTTTGAGCTGAGAGATCAAAACCTGGCCTGGGGAAGTGGGGAGGGGAAGGGCAGAGCTTTGCCTGCAAAAAAAAAAAAGTGCCCGCGGATGACCTCAGTGGTCAGTCCCAGGGTCCGTGTGGTACTGTTCACACCACCTTGGATCCCCAGTCCAGGTTGTAAGTTGTGGAGACTGCGGTGGGCAGGTCCAGGGATGCCTACACTTGCACCCTTAGGGCCCAGTACAGCACCTGGCACCCAGGTGTATTCTGTTAATGTACTATGAAAAGGCCAAGAAAATGGCCTGCCATCCCAGTGAGAGGGGAGGCTGGGGAGCTACAGCTGGCAGACAGAGTCCAGCCAGGGAAAGGAGGGATCGGAGCAAGAGAGGAGGGCCGAGCTCCTATCCCCCACCTGCTCCCTCAGCCCAGCTCCTTCCCAAGCCCCTACCCCCCACCTGCTCCCTTGTCGTTGGTCTGCCTCCCCTCCATAGTTCCCATAGCCTCAGGGAACATTTCTGGCCACCTCTTGACCTCACAGCTCCAGCCTATCTGCCCTTCCTCTCGTGAAGCCCCCCGAAGGCCCCTCCTGCCTCCACCCTGGCAGCACAGGAGTGGATTTGATTCGATCCTACTCCTACTGCTCACGTGTTCTTTGGGTCCAGCTGCTCTGAGGACCAAGCAAGCCCTCTTCATCTTCAGGGCAGTACCTCAGTGGCCGCCTCGGCCTCACGTGGGGCCTCCTTGGCCACTTAAACCTCAAAGCACCTGCAGGCGCTGTTTCCTCCCCTCGCCTACCATGCTGTCCTCCTCGTCCCGCGGGGAGTAGGCCAGGGTACTGGAGGAGGAGGGGGTCCTACGGTGTTGTTTGTAGGTGCTGGTGCCGTCGGCTGCCAGAAAAGAGGAGCATGGAGTTCTCCCAGGGGTCTGCCAGCTTATCCAGACATCCTCCTCGCCTGCGACCCCCCCCCCCCCAAACTGCTTCCTTCTGGGTCTGGAGGCCACTGGGGTCCGGCAAGTACCCCTGCCCACCCAGGGCCCTCTACCCTCCATTAAAGCCAAAGGGGGAAGGCTTGGCTGTCTCCCAGGATCGTCAGACCCCAGTATAACCACAGGGCAGTCTGTCCTAGTCGATCCAAGCCCCTAACCAAGTGGGTTGAGGGAAGGGGTGGGGGTGGGGGGAGAGTTCCATTGTCCCAGCCTGACCCGGGGCCATCTATACACAGCAAACGCTCACACTGAGGGTCACTTGGCAGAAGTGGGGACATTGGCTTGCATGCCCCTCATGGCTACCCTGGCGGGGAGAAGAGGGGTGGGGAGGTGGGGCGCAAGGAGTTATAGGAGCAGAGGAGGGGGTGCCAGATGGTCAGGGCTGAGAGTGGCCAGGAACAGGGTGTTCCTGCTCAAGGGGTGGTGAGGAGGAAGAGGCCTAGGCTCAGCTGCTCACCTTTGGTGATGGTAGTAACAGCGGAAAAGGCGGGCCCGAAGGTCGTTTCCATCCTGGTCTGCAGAGAGAGCAGAGGGGGTGTGGCCTGGGCCCAGAGAGAAGGACACACAGCACCCCCACAACACACTCACATACACACACTGATGCTACGTGTGTGTGTGGACAGACACAACCACAACTCATGGACACAGGGGTCCCTATGTATGTAGGTGGGTACACAGGAACCTTACCCCGGTGGCAATGTCTGGGGCAGGAAGACTGGCAGGGCCCCCGGAGAAGCGATTGTAGCGGGCGTTCTTACCCGAGCTCATGCCTGGGCAGCATCTAGGGTTGGCAGGTAGCGTCCTCTGTTGGGGAGCAGATGAGGGGTTCTTACTGGGGTTCCCATGGCAGGTACCCTCAGGCCTACTTTCCCTATTGATGCCAGTGAAGGCAAAGTGCCCAGTGTTCCCGGTCCCCATCTGTCGGGACGTTGCCATCTCAAACACCTGCCCGGCTCTACCCCAAAGGTGAAGGCACCAACCCCAAGTTACAGCTGGTTGGTCACCCCCAGGTCTGTCCCTGCCATGGGTCAGATGTTCCTGGAGCCAGAGCCAGACCTTGGAGTAGGGGTAGGGGACCCAATGGGCTGCAGCAAGCACAAGGGTGGCACACCATGGTACCAGCCCTAGCCAGCCTGGCTCAGATGGGGACGTTAGCCACAGGACCCTGTAGGTGTAATAAGGGTAGCCCCAGTGCAAAGAAAGCCACTGCCCCTCTCTTTCCAGGGGCCGGGCCCAGTGTGTATGCAGGAAAGGAAGGGCTACAGGCAAACCGCCCTGAGGACAGGCTCCGGCCCCAAGCACTCCTGTGACCACCAGGAGCCCGAGGGGGGCGCAGACTCCTCCTAAGGGCAGGAGACCTTTGTCATGTGGGCCACACTTGTCCTTCACCACCTCTATGCTGTTGTAGCACATGGGCTGATATTGACAACCTCCTCAGCCCACCCAGCACTAAAGCCAGCTTGCACCCTAGGCTGGCATGTGGCCTGGTGACCAGGCTGGGAGCAGGAGGCTGGGAACAACCTGTGCCCCAGGACAGTGAGGCCTGGGGTCAAACAAGCCCCCTACCCTGCACCAAGGGGCTGGGTGAATCCACCCTCTGCCCTTGCCTGAAAGGAGGCCAGCCCCGAGGGTGGCAAAGCCTGGTACTTTAGGTACCTTCTCCATGTGGCCATCCAGACCTGCTCCTGAGTAGTAGTACCACAAGGGGACTGGTCCCCCAGCACCTGCTCCCATGCCATTCACAGTACCCTCGCCCACCACCTGCCGAGGATCTGCTGGGCCTTGAGACTCAGGCCTCTGCCAGCATCTCCCAGGACTCTTTCTCCATCACGGGTCCTAAGGCACCCAGTCCCCCACACTCTTAACAATACTCTGTAGGCTACATGGGGTCTCAAGCACTTGAACCCAAAGTTGCCCACCTCTTGCCCTCCAGACACACTCCAGGTATACACAGCCCCCCAGCAACCACCTGGGTCTGGAGAAAGGACAGGGCAGTCGCGGGCCAGCCACCAGGACTTGGCTCTCGGTGACCCCAGAGTGGCTCTCAGGCTGAGGTTGGGAGGCAGCTAGCTCTCCACTCTCAGCAGAAGTGGGGTGAGGCCCTGAAACCTAGGCTGGGGAGAGGCTCTGTCAGCAATCGGCCGGGAGGGCTTGCTCTTCCCAGAAAGCCCACAGTTTGCTCCTGTCTGGTCCTCCAGGCACCCATGGAAGGAAAGGTGGCTGCTCTAGACACTGACCTGAATTCTGCAAACCCATCTGCCCCCTCCTTGCACACTTCCTGGGCTGAAGGCCCAGCTAGGGTAGTGGCAGGTTGGACCAGGCCAACAGCCACAACCCCGGGGAACTGGGCCAACACGCAGGCCCCCAATAGTCCAGCCCCCAGAGTCAAGTTGGCAAGCCCTGCTCCGAAGTGAGGTAAACAGAAGGGCATGCAGCCACACACAAGGCGCCCAGGAGGTCCCTTGGCCAATGATGGAGCCCTCGGGGATTCCCAATGTGCAGCCCAAGCCCCCATCCCAGCCTCTCCTATGCTCTGCACCCCTAGGATCTGCGTCTGGATTGAGCAAGACACCCAGAGCTGGCTGCCCACCCACCTGCTCCCAAGGGGCTGCTCTCGCAATAATGGCTTCCCCCACTTTAGGCCAGGCCACACCCGGGAAAGACACACCCCTGGCTGGCGCAGAGGCTGACCCAGGGTAGCCCAGGCCTGGTCATCACGAGCCAAAAGTAGCACCTCTTCCACACCCCCAGTGACCAGAGGCTCTTGGGTGGCTGGACGGTGCTAAGCCAGCGTAGGAATTCTTGGGTCCTCATTCCGGGGGCCTGGCTGCGGGGAAGATGTTTCACAGACAGTGGTCACACCCTCCATGCCAACCAAAAGGGCTTCCCCATCACCAAAGTCTGGAAGGACCCTGGAACCAGAAAGTCTGTCTTTAAAAGAGACTAATGTCCCTCCTTCCCCCCAGCTCCTAGAGGAAACAGGCTGTCGTTTGGGCCTGTCTGGGATGTGTCGCATGGGGCAGGCCAGCTGGGCACTTTCTCCTTCTGCTGTCCCTATCCCAAGGAAGGACATCACACTGGAGTTTGGGGTTGAAGCCCAAGGGGTCTGCAGGGCCCCAGAGCAGCCCTAGAGCCCCCACCTCAGGGGTGTTGGACATGGCTCCCTGCCCCTTCCCCTTTGGGACATACCCCAAGAGGTGTGGAGGCATGGGGGTACCCTGAGCAGCATGTGCTGGGACAGAGAGGGGAAGCCTGCCATGAGAGCCCGGTCAGCCACAGCTTGTTCTGGTGGTCACTGCCTCAGCGAGGTGCTGATGACGCAGAGAAATCTAGCCCTGTAGGTGGCCACTGGATGGACCAGGGTCAGGGCTGTAAGTATAGCTGTCAGCATCAGAGCCACCTGGGGAGCCCAGTCCTGGATCCGCCCCTACAGAGGGCCCCTAAGGCTGCAGTCTAGGCCCAGCCCCCAAATCCTATAGAAACGGGTCTGGTTGTCATAGCAAAGTCATGAGATCCCCCAAGCAGTTCCCTGATGTCCTCTTAGCACAGTTTTTCCATCCCTGACACGTATAGTGTGACGTTAGGCCCAGGGGCCCCTCCCCCAAGCTTCTGCTTCACCCCTCTCCTTTTCTGTACCACAAGCTGGACCCCAGAGCAGGTACCTACATAGCAGCCTCTCTACTCTTTGCTGCCCAGGTCTCCCAATGGGTCCCAGCCTCTCCAACACCCATGATGTCACCTTCAGGAGCAGGCAGGATCCCCCTCCCCACAGTCACAAAAATGCTGATCTCTACTCCACCTCCTTCTCTGGGATCAAGCTGCACCCCTGTTCTTTCTTTCTCAGGAGAAGTGACTCATTTGAGAGAAACCAGGAGGACTTCCTGGAGGAAAGGGCTGACCAGATCTCAGCACCCAGCTGTAGTGGCTGCTCCAGGGGCAGCCCACCTGACCACATACCACTTTGGGTCAGTGCATGCCTGGCCCTTGTTGGTAGTGCCAAGTGGGGTGGGACAGAACGGGGCACCCTCTCCCCGCCTGTGGAAGCAATGCCCAGGCCCAGTGATTGTCCCTCCAGGGGCCGCTATGGCAGCGCCTCCCCATACTTCCTCTCAATGTTCCCCACCCTCCCCCAACAGAACCAGGTTTGAAGGTGATTCTGGGAGTGGTCGGCTAACCCTTCTCAGGTGTCCAGACAGCCCCGTCACCTCCTGTTCTGCTCCCCAGCCCCCAGCCCGTTCTTTGAAGTGCAGTCCCTTCTCTTCTGTCCTGGGACGGCTCTCCAGAGCAAGAGGTCAGCCATTCCCTGCCCCAGGCCCACACCAGAACTGGCTCAGACAGAGGCGCTCATGGACTCCCTGAGGTGTTCACGACAACACCTGGTAAAGAGGGCAGGAGTGGAGCCCACATAGACCCGGGGTTCAAACCCCACCTCAGCTGAGCAGCTGTGGTTTGGGGCAAGCTAAATGCTTTCCTGGACCTTGGGCTGCCCATTCGAAAAACTGGTATAACTGTGAGTGATGACATGGAATTAGGAATAGACTTCTGCCTCAGAAGCCCCACCCTGAGGAAAGGATAGGACTCAGCAGGGCCCCACCTCTGAACCCCAGGTTCTGCCCCAGCTGACTGCCTGACTTAAAATCAACAGGTCTGGGCAGCTGGACCCCGGGGAGGGCTTGTGGACACCTACTCCTTCCCACCCACACCCCCCCACTGTGCCTTTGGAGACCTGTCCACTCGCCTCACTATTCCCAACCCCCCAACAAGACCTACAGTCAGTCCATACTCCACACGCAACCAGGCACCCCTTTACTAGATAGGACCTATAGCCCCAATAAAGGCTTAATTTCACCCAGAAGTGCCTCGGAAGAAACGCCTGGTGATCTATTTCCGAAAAATCAGCCACTGAAAACCCCGACGGAGCACAGCTGTACTCTGGCAAAAGTGGGGTTGACAAAGGTCAGCAACAATTGGCTTTGCACATGCAATAAAAGAGATCGCCCCATCGCGCACTCGATGGGCTGGCCGCCTCTGACTATTCTAAGCACTTTGCAGTCCTCTGCGGGAGGACGCCCGGCCAAGCCCATTCTCACTCCAGGACTTTGCACATCTGGTTCCTCACATCGGAATGCTCTTCCGGGCAACTTCCCAGGACCTGCTTCTTCCTGTGTTCGGTCTTAACTATACTCTGTCCAAAGGGTCTTTCGGGAGCCCCCAACTTTTTCTCAATACCCTGCTTCTTTCATAGTCCCTACGGCAATTCCTCATTCATCTGTCTGTTATCAGCTCTCTCCTCTACCAAGAACACTGGTTCCCAATGGGTGAAATTCTTCTCCGGAGGATACTTGGCGATGTCTAGGGACATTTTGGATTGGTACAGCTAGGAACGGGGATGCTATAGATACCTAGTGGGTGGAGATCAGGGATGCTGCTCAACATTCTACAATACACAGGGCAGTCCCCCGCCATAAAGAACTATCAACAGTGCCCAGGGGACAAAACCCCCCTGCACTCGAAGATGAAATGAAGACAGGAATCCTGTTCTCCACGCAGTTTCTCCGGTTCCCAGAACAGTGCCTGGCACTCAGGCGGCGCTTAATAAGTGTAGAATGAAAGAATGAATAAAGAAGAGACTGAGCGAGTGACAAGCAAACGGACCGACGCAGAGACCCCAGCCCGGCTCAGCCCCGCCCCCTCCAGGCCAGATCCCTCGCCCCGACCCCGACGCACCTTCCTCCCGCTCCCACCGTGAGTCGCCAAGGCGTGAGCCCCGAGCGCCGAGCGGACACTCACCCGCCCGCGGCCGCCGGCAAGCGGCAGAGCCGCTGTCTCGTTCCATCGTGCCCCCTCGGCCGCCGGCCGGGAAAGGGACTGGTCGCGCGAGCCGGAAGCGCACGGCACTGCGCCCGCCGGGATTTGTAGTTCATGGACTCTCCGGGCCCGTGAGGCCGCCTAACGCTTCGCGCTTCAGAAACTACGACTTCCGGCGTCCTAGACGTCGCGGTGCGGAATTGGCGGCTTCAGAATCATTCTGTTGAACATCAGAGTTTGATTGGCTATGTGCATCCGTCGCTCACAGTTGTTTTCAATGGCCTCCGCCCAAAGGAGGAGCTTTGAAGCTCGAGCCTAGGAGACCGCCCCTAAAATAAATTCCGTAGAGCGATTGGTGAAAACAAAGAGAGAAGAAAGTAGAGCCTGTCATGTACGCGCAGGGAAGGTACTTCCGTCGGCATTTGTCCAATCATAGAGGTGAGGCAGTTTCTATAAAAGCTTGAGCCTCGTGCACGTCCGTTCTTTCTGGGTTGTGTGTGAGGTTGTTTTTCTGTTGGTTATGTGTAGGCTCTCGTGTAGTGCTGGAGGCGTTTTATGGAGCCTGCTGCGCGCGAGTTCCATACACCTCCACCCAGGTAAGCCTGAAGCAGATCTTTTAACCCAGGCAGCCCCAAACCCGTGATGAATTGCTTTAATTTCTGACACCTCGTATGAAAACTGCATGTGCAGTCTGATTATGTTGCAATACTGAGGTTTCTGGGCTGCATGACCTTCGAAGGGGAAGAAGGAGAGGGAGGGCGTATAAACTGCTTTCGCCAAACGATGGCGGGGAAGGGCTTCTGTTTATATCTCGGTGTTGTCTTTCAGGGACATCCGAGGGATCGGCTTCGGCTGCAGACGCCGAGCCTACGTCCACATCTTTAACCGAGAGGCCCAGCGCGCTGGAGGGCCTGACGGTAAGGCGCGACTTTCTGTGTGTCCGAGATACTTGGCAATAAAATAGATGTTGTCCTAGTTGGCGTGTCTCTTGCTGCTGTTTCACCTCCGGAGAATGGAATGGATGGGGTAGAGACGTTTGGGTAATTTACTGCATCTTTTCCGGCTGTGAGCCAAGAAAGTGGGTTTGTGTTTTTGCATTGGCTAAGTCAATACTTAGCCTACAAGCTCCGATGGATGTCAGGAGAGACGTTAACACACATCTAGTATAACACGTAGTCTCCTTAAAGAGCTATGGTTTAGACTTCTGCCATTTGTGGAGAGTGCCCCCACCTCTGCAGTATCAGCAACGTGGGGATTTAGAACTCAATACAGTTTTTGTTTCAACAGACAAGGCAGAGACGATCCAGAAAACACAACTTTATTCACTAGGACAGAAAACATAAGGTTCACAATCAAAAAATGGTGTCTCGGTGATTTTTAATACAAGGTGGAACATGGGTGCTGTCCCAAGTCTCCCTGAATTCCCATGTTAAATTCCCTGTATTTACAAAGCTTTGGAGGAAGACCCTTTGTCAGGTCCCCTGTTTCTCTCAGACCTAGCAGCTGGGTGGGAGCAGCCAGCATCCCGGTACACGTGTTACACGCAGGAGGGAGTTAGTGATGGGTTCCTCCCAGTACCGCAGGGTCAGCTTCCTGTCGGGCTGGGTGTACCCAAATGCAAAACATGGCTTTTCCAGGAGGATAGGCAGGATGCCTGGGCCGGGTGGCCAGTAGAGGGCAACAGAGCACCAGGCTGTTGGACCTGGAAAGGCAGCCGCCCACCATGGTGCTTTGGGGGTAAGGCCCATCATGAGTCCTGGGAACAACTGTTCAAGTCAGAGGCGGCAGCATGAGCCCCCACGACCCTCCCTCTCGACATAGTCGTGCAGTCGGAAACGGGGCTCATTGGGGGTCTTAGTGGTCCGCTGCTTCAATTCCCTATGTGTGGAAAGGGTGATTAAGTGGAATCACCTGAACACGCAAATCACGGGGTCGGGCTAACCAGGGACAAGGACTTACTTTGCTATGGCTGTGAAGGCCAAGTCCACATTGAGGCCGGTCTTGGCACTGGTCTCCATGAAGGGCAACCCATACTCCTGTAAACAGCAGCTGCCAGCTAGACCTTGGGACAGCCCAGACCTGTCCCCAAAACCACAGGGCCACCTCCTGCCACCCCACTCACCTTGGCCAGCTTCTCACCGTCCTCCCTCTTCACCTCTCGCTCGTGGCTAGAGTCCACCTGGCTCGGGCACAGGGGTCTTGTGGCAGCTAGTTCCCAGTCACCCCCCACCCCTCGCCTGCCCCGCATGCCCACCTTGTTCCCCAGCAGCATGAGCACCACGTTTCGCTGGGCATGCTCCTGGATCTCACTCAGCCAGTCCTGCGGGATGGGGACCCCCAGGCCACACCCCATAAGTGTGGGACACAACTTCAAAACTAGGTTACTAGATGTGGTGTGGGGTAAACACTTGACTGCTAACCACAAGGTTGCAGGTTGAAAGCCAACAGGGCTGCCTAGGATCCCCTATGAGTCAGACTGTTCACCTTGTGGTTAGCGGTTTAGACTTTACCCAGATAGTCCAGGGCATCTTGGCCACCCCCATTCAGCACTGAATCCTACGTGACCCAATGCTGGTGGAGCCCTTCCCTCTGCCCTGCCCAGGAGGGAAGTGCTGACCTGGATGTTGTCAAAGGAGGCCTTGTTGGTGACATCATAGAGCAGCAGCAGGGCTATGGGCAAAGGGGTGCCTGTCACCCACATACCGCAAGTCACTGGGTTGTGACAGCAGCCACAGGGCCCACACTCACCATGAGCATCGCGGTAGTAGGCATGGGTAACACTGCGGAACCGCTCCTGACCAGCTGTGTCCCACATCTGCAGGGACAGGCACCGCCCAGCCGTCAGGCGGCCCAGTTCTTCCCCTTGTCCCCAGCACACCACCTTCTGTCCCTATTAGCTCTCACCTGAAGCTTCACCTTCATGCCGTCCACATCCAGAATTTTGTTCTGAAACACAACCAGCCAACTCTGCCTTTCCCCGTGGGCCACTTCCAAGCCCTGCCAGGTCCCCCACACCTGCCTCTCCAGGTCCCACTGCTCCTGGAGACCCCAGCTTTCCTTGCCATGCCCCCTCCCATGGGTGGCCAGATCCATGGGTCCCCCTACGTGTGGACGCCCTACTGCCTAACACCTCCCCCCATCCCCTAGTCACCCATTCCTCCATCATCCAGCCCCTCTTCCGTCCTCTCCTGTGTCTCAAGTCCCTAGTCCTGCTGTTCCTTGCCCACCTAGCCTCAGCCCTGTCCAGGGCCTTTGTCCTGCCAGCCCCTTCTTGCCACAGTTCCGCACAGCTTACTACTTTCTGGCTTATTCGAAGTGACTAATGCTATGCCTCAGTTTCCTCATCTGCAGGCTGCACATGGGGATCAGGGTGCCCCAGGGACTTGGGAACAGAGCACTGGGGACACATGGCCCAGAAATGACCGGGGGGTTAGAGGGGTGGCAATTAGTGAAAGGGCACTGAGTTGGTGGTTAAACCCAAACCCAACCCACTGTCAGAGTTGGTTCTGATTCAGTGACCCTGTGTAGGGTTTCGGAAGAGCAGCTGGTGAGTCTGAGCCCCACCCCCAGGATCTCATATAGGGTTTTCAAGACTCAAATTTTTAAGGAGAGGACAGCTTCCTAGTCCTCTCAAGGAGCGGCAGGTGGGTTTGAACTGATGAACTTGCAGATAGCAGACCAACACAACCCACAGCGCCACCAGAGTTCCTTGAGATTACTGTCGGAGGGAATGGAAAAACACCTTATATGTTGGATGCAACTTGCTGTCGCTAAGTCGAACATGGGGAATGGCTGCATCCTTGGTAAATGTTTTGTCACGGATATCTTTGGAGCCTGGGCATCTATCTGAGGACGGGGGCTGTGTCTCTTGCCCCCTGCAGTGACCCTGGAGCCCAGAACTGCCTGATTCACAGCTGTTGCTCAACCTGTGTTTTCTGCCCCCCACCCTACCCCCCTCCTTAGGAGAAGACACTGGACCTAAGTTCCATCTGCTGGCCTGGGGGGGCAGGGGTGCGAGAGCCTCTAGTCATCTCCCCTCCCCCAGCTCCTGTTGTCTGGGTGTTGCTGGGTCTTCTTCAGCCATCTGCCAGGCTGGGGGTTGGGGTGGACACCTCTGCTTTCCCTGGCACCTGAGACAAGGGTGTGAACCCTCCCTCACCGTCTGACCTAGAGCCAAAAGAGAGGCGTGAAGGGGGCCAAGGCAGGGAGACTACCCCTCCTAAACCGTCCCCTCTGGTACCTCAACTCCAACAGCATCCCAGATGACTTGGGAACCCAGGCCAGAGTTACCCCTTTCTTGTCCACAGATGGGCTTCCTTCCACCCCTTCCCAAAGCCTCCCAGTAACTGGGTCTAATTCAAAGGTGAGAAAAATGCACATCCCAGCTTTGCTGAGAACACACAGCACCTCAGCCCATGGAATTCAGGCCAGTAGGCTGATATGGGCTCTGCAGAGACCCCAGTCCCATCCTTCCTTGATGATCCCAATGGTTTCTGGGAGTGACTTAAGGGCCCAGGGGGTACCCCCAGAAGAGCCTAGGAAAAGGCTGGTGGGGGCGTGAAGGGGCTCTGAGCCTTATCCCCAAGGGTAGGGACGACTCCTCCAAGCAGATCTGGGGATACAATGCCCAATCTTCCCCAGCTCTGGGGGAGGTGCTGATGGGACCTTCAAACCCCTGCAGAACCAAGCTCCCTCTGTACAGGATGTGCCTTGTGGCCCTCTTACTGCCAGCCCTGAGGGCACCAGCCCCCCCCCACCCACACACACACCCAGGCAGAGCGGAGGGGGCTGTGAGAGCCATGAAAGAACTCAGGTCTGCTCACTGGGAGTGTCAGATACCAGGGCCTGTCTGCAGCCTGCTACCTGGGGAAACAGAGGCCAGGGGCCAGGCAGGAAGGAGGGACTGGGTGAGTGTTCAGGGTCAGTGCCCATGCTCACCCGGAAGTCGATGCCCACGGTGGAGATGAAGGTCCCTGCCAGGAAGGCCCCATCCTTGAAGCGCACCAGCAGGCAGGTCTTCCCCACGCCCGAGTCTCCCACTAACATCACCTGGGGCAGGGGGAGGGGGCAGGGTATCAGGTCTGAGTGCAGGGAGCTGGACTGACTGGAGGTGAAGCAGGGGTGATGAGGCGGGAGACCCAGGCCTTTCAGGTTCCACAGGGCCAAGCGGGGAGACAGCAGCCCACGGACTCCAACAGCATGAACCCCGGCTTTGGCAAGACTTGGTCCCCTCTCTCCTTCCCAATCGATGGGGTTAGGACAGCTGTCTCGAGTAATGCCCTACCTACCACCCCCACCACCCCAAGACCGTACACGAAGTTTAATTTGGGGTGGGGGAGGGCAGGACCAGCCAGGAGCTTGGGAGGCAAGCATTTGGGAACCAGAGGCCAGAGGTGGTCCTAAGAGGTTTGTGATGACTGACGTCCTGCCAGGGGGCTTCTTCAGATCTCAGTCAGGCTTGAGGAATGTGCCAACGGACCTAGGGTCCCAGTCAGGCTTATTGGCAAGGAAACCCCAACTCAGCGACCAAGGAGGGGAAACCAGATTCTCCTCCTTCCCCCACACGCAGCCCAAGGCTCCAGCTCCCAAAGATGGTCCTGCCCGTATTTCCCCATAATTCATATAGTCCCAGCCCTTGGAGATCCACACAGCTGGCAGATCTCTTAATAGCCCCTCCGCCAAAGGAGACCCCAGCGTCTGTGGGGGAGTGAAGGCAGCATATGGGAGCAGTACGACTGGGGTCCAGGGTGTGGGCAGGAGCTTGTCAGGATCTACCCCACCAGCTGTTGGGTACCTCAACCCCAACACACAGCTGTGTATGGGATGTGCAGGCTTAGCTGCAGCGTGGCGCGCCCCTTCCCAGAAATCCACCACACGGCGCGGGCCGGACTCCACCTGCTACTCTTGCCCCGGGTGGGTGACTCAGTCGGGAGGGGTGCTGGGCTCACCTTGAATGCGACGTCGTAGAAGTCGCCGCCACCGCCCAGCGAGGGCCGGCCGGACTGCGGTGGCCCATTGGGTGGCGCCTCGGAGCCCGGGCGCACAGTCCCGGGGCGCGCTGGCCGGGGACCATTGGTGGCGGGGGCGCTGGCCCCCTTGCTCCTGGGAATCTTCTTCCTGGACATGTTAGCGCGCTTGGGGCGCTCCCGCTGCGGCCGCTGCGCCCGGGCAGTCCAGCCGACGGCGCCCGCGGAGCTCGCCCAGAGCCGACCCCAGCCCGTGGCGCTCCGGCCCCGCCTCGGCCCGCGCCCGACAGGCCGCACAGCCACTCAGGCCCAGCCTCCCGCCGCCGCCGCCAATGGCCGCATATGGGGCGGGAACATGCAAATGAGACCACCCCCAAGGGCGGGGGCACTGCCCGTGTGCCCCTGGCGGAGTGCTGGGGCCGTGGGCCTGGGTGAGATGAGTTCCCTGGAATCCTGCCACCCCTCCCGTGGTGTGCTGTACCCCTGCCCCGTGGCTCCCTGTGGACCACATCCAGGGAGTCCTGAGGTTGGTACCTTGTGATTTATGTTGATTCTCCAGCCAGAGGGGCCACTTGGCCTTCTGCCTCCTACCCTTCACCACAAGGCAGGTGGGCCCGGAGCGCCCCACACTCCTGCGGACTTGGCAAACAAACCCAGTGTTCGGGACTCAGCTCACAGCTGGTTATCAGACACGGGAGGGACTACTTGGCAGTTCATTCTCCCCCGACAGCCTCTGGTCCCCAAAAAAGTCAGGGGTCACGGCTCGCAGCAGACCCTCCAAGGTTGGGTTCTGAGGGGTCCCCTAAGCTGTGCCTGGCCCCTCTCCATCTTGGGCCAGCTATTTCTGGGGCATCACAGAGCCCCACACAAGGAGCTCCATTTGAGAAGGCCCTGGCAGTGGTCCGGGAGTCCTGGCACAGGAAGGCTTGATGCCCTTGACAGGGGCTGGGGATTTGGGAAAGGCTATGGACAAAAGGAGCTCAGGTAGGGCAGTGGTTACAAATCTGGCTGCTAACCTCAAGCTCCGCAGTTCGAAACTACCAGCGGTTCCGCGGGAGAAAGATTTACAGCCTCGGAAACCCTGTGAAGGGTCACTAGGAGTCGGAAACGACTCCACAGTACTTAACAACAACAACAATGGACAATCTGCTCCAGGAGCCAGAGAAAATGCCGGGCTGGCTAGTTCCAAGAGGTGACAGCTGTCTCCAGATTGTCCACCCTCCAAAGTCCAAACAATGAGCTATCCCTCGGCCTTCTAGGTCTGAGAAAACACAGGTGGAGGGACAGTGGGACGCTGCCCACAAGAGTGACTCCCAGTAGACCTGGCGGTGGCTGCATTAAAACTAATGGCACCAGACACACATCAGCTGCAAACACCCTGAAAAGCGGGTGCTGTTTCGCCCATGGGAAACTGAGGCCCAGAGAGGTGATGGGAGCTGTCCAGGGTCACAAGCAAGGAAGCGACAGAGCCAAGCTTTGCAGCCAGCATCTCTGACTCAGAATATAAACTGTCTCCAGACAAGAGTGAACAAGTGTGCCCCTGGAAACTCGTCCCTCACCTACCTCTCTGGGCCCCCAGATCTCTTTTCCCTGCTCCTCTGGCCATACCCCATGCAGGCTGCTCCCTAGGTGTATATGAGGTAGGGGAGTTGGGTCCCTACCTGGGTGTTCCAACTCCCTCAGAACAACCTCAGAGTGGCTGACCCAGGGTCTCAGCTAGCCCTGCTTCCGTAAAGACTGGCAGCTTCAGAGACCCTATACAGGGTCGCTAAGAGTCAGAACTGACTCCACGGCCCTTAACAACAGCAGCTACATGTCAAGATATAACTCTGCTTTGTGTTGCTAACAGGAGATCTGGGGTGCTGCTTCACAGCACCCCTTCTCCTGCCTCCCTGTCATCCTGTCTATCTTCGAGTATAATGGACCTTGGTTCTTCTATTTGCCATCTGTCTCATCCTCTGGGGGACAGTAACCAGCTTGTCTTGGTCACGGCCATATCCCCAGCAGCCTTCTCTGGGCCTCAATAAACAATTATTAAATTGACAAGAGAAGCTTGACTTAGAAACGCAGGTCCCATTTCAGGAGGACATTATTGCTAACCAGGATTTAGGGCAGGTGTCGTGGTATCGTGATCCAGTCATGAGAGCAAGACTTTGGGGTGGAGGGGACATCTGCACTGGGTCTTGAAGGTTGTTCAGGAGCTCAATAGGAGAGGCAGTGGGGAAGTGGGAAGAGTCACAGTGACAATAAGTGGGTCGTTGAGCTGAAGAGGCCAAGGTGTGGCCCAGTTTCTTGGAGAGAAATGGGAGCTAATCAGGTTGGCAAGATAAGAGGGGCTAAATTATAAAGGGAATTGGAATGGCATACCTTTTCCATTCTCATCTAGTCAATTCCCACTCCTTGCGACCCGATAGGATAGAGTAGGACTGCCCCATCAGGTCTCCGTAAGTCTTTCTCCTGAGGGGTGGTTGGTGGGTTCAAAACACAGACCTTTCAAATAGCAGCCCAATGTTTAACCCACCATGCCACCAGGGATCCTATGACCCACAGCCACCCTATATAAGATCTCCAAGGAGCAGCTGGTGAGCTTGAACCGCCGACCTTGCGGTTCAAACTGACTTTGCAGTCCAGTGCATTAACCCACAGCGCTCTACCAGGACCCCCAAAACAAAACCCCACTGAAAATGAGTTGATTCCACCTCATTTAGCAAACCTATATAGGGCTTCCAAGACTACATCTTTACGGGGCAGACAACCTCGTCTTTCTCCCACAGAGCAGCTGGTGGGTTTGAACTGCTGACCTTTCAGTTAGCAGTCCAATGCCTAACCCACATGTCATACTTTTGTTGTTGTTATTGTTATGTGCTGTTGAGTCGGTTCCAACTTGTAGCAACCCTGGAACCCTAGAAAGTTTTCAGGAGAAACAAGGACCACTGCAGTGCAACAGAGAGGAAAAGGTGGTCCAGGGAGGGCGTGGATGGATGGTGGAGCCCACGGGCAGGAAAAGGAGTTGGAAGGTATTTGCCATCACCCAGGAGAGAGATAATAGGAACAGAGGGGGCCTCCAGGCCTGGATCAGAGTTCATGGGATAGAACAGTGGAGGCGTCTGGTCTGACTGGTGAAAATTAGAACATCCTTTGCTCTTTTTTCCAATGAGAGATAAGTCTAGGTCCCCAGCCCTTGAATCTGGAAGAAGGGACGGTCACTTTCCAGACCCAGATCTTACGAAACTGGCAGCTTCCCCTTCCTGTCCCCAGGAACACCCATTGTCAGAACCCAGCTGCCATGTTGTAAGGAAGCCCAAGGAACCACGTGGAGAGGTACTGGTTTACCAACCACGTGAGTCCGAGTCCGGAAGAAGCCTTCTTAGAAGCGGATGCTCCAGCCTCAGCTGGCAGCCGCCTGAGCAGACAGGAACCATCCCACTGATCCTAGAAAACACCGTCTGTTTGGTAGAGAAAGCCAGGAATGTAGCCTTGGCCAGGTCTGGGGTGGTCCAGCTTCTTGGGATCTTCAAACCCGGAGAGGTGAGGACGCCTGCAGGTCAGAGCAGGTTCCCAGGGCCGGGTCAAACATTGAGGTGATCCCCGACTGGAAAGAGATGGAGTGTGAGAATCCTATCCCGCCTGGAGAGGGTGCCTACACTACAGCCTCAAGCCTTCTGGTTCAGGGCTGGCTCTATTGGGCAGGGGAAGATCAAAATGTCCCCATGACCCAGCAAGGACCAGAGTGACCCCAGGCCTGTTCCAGCCTCCCTGAGGCCTTTTCCTGGATCTCACCTCCTCCCTCTGACAGCCCAGGTCCCGTGTTCCCTTCACATGCGTGACCTCCAGCCCCAGCACTCTGCCCTCTGACTTGTCCTTCGGGGTGTCGCCAGCTCTGAGACCCCTCTGGTACCAATGCCCCGTGGCAGTCTCTCCTTGGATCCCCATTTTCCCAGTGCTCCAGCCTCATCCCTCACTCCTTCCCACCCACCTGGAGCACTGATAGAGGGGTTCAGGTCTTCCAGGATCTGTTCAGAGCCAGCTTCCTCCTCCAGGAAGCCTTTCTTGATCCACCCACACTCACCTCTTGCTCCCTGGACACTCACGTTTGCTCTGTGTGCCTCCTGACTGGTCTGGTTGGATTGTGCCAGGCTCCTCCTGCCTCCCACCTAACACAGAATCAGTGCTGTGTGACTGAGCAGGACGGGGCTGGGGGTCCTTTGCAAAGGGATGAATGGCTAAGCTCAAGCCTCCCCTCCAAGAAATCGTCCTTCAGGTTTCAGGAAAAGGGACCCTGCTAAGGATGGTGCCTGGCAAGGTCCCGGTCTTGCTGTGTGGTCCCTCACGTGTGGCCTCCATTCTCTGGGCCTGTCTTCCCCTCCGTGAATCGAGGGGGCGGAGGAGCAGATCCATATCTTAGAGGTCCCTTCCAGCTCAGACACCTTCTGTTCTGTGAATGTTGCCATGGAGACATCAGAGGCAGCACTGCTCTGATGCTGAGTGTGATTTCCGCCCGAAAGAGGCGACTGAAGCACCCTATGGAGCAGGTGCACCTGCCCAGGTGCCCAGGGGGTCGCAGGGAGGGGCCTGCTCCCGGGATGACACACCCCAGCCACAGCCCACTCATCTATGCTGCTGGACAGATGGTAACCGGGCCATGTTAAGTGCTGAGAGAAGGGAAGGACTTAGAGTCATTTTCCTGCAGGTGTAACATCTGTCATCGCTGCCCACAGCGGCACAGTTGTTCACACCCACAGGGAAGTGCACAGGGGGTGGGGGGGGGAATGAGCTAGTGCCAAAGTCAAGCTGTCTCTCTCAGGACTGACCTAGCAATGGTGTTGCTCCAGGGGACCTGTGCTTAGGAGTACAGCCCTGGCTATTGGAGGAGGCAGAGTAGGGCTTTGGTACAGGAAGACTTGGGCTGTGGAGCCTCTCTTTGTTTGAAATAAAAACAAAACAAAACATGAACGTTTTATTGCGGTTTGGGTGAAAGTTTGCAGAGCAAACTAGTTTTCCACTCAACAATTTATACACCTTTCATTTCGTGACATTAGTTGAGATTCCCTCTACTTTCTTCTCCCCTGGGTTCCCCATTTCCCTTCATCTTTCCATCCTGCTCTTTCCTGCCTTCAGAACTTGTTTTGGGCAAATGCTGTCCATTGATCTCTCATGGT